GCCGACGTCCAAAATGGCATTGGCATTTCGAGCAACGTTGATGAGCTTGGTGACCAGGGATGGCGCGCCTGCAGCTACAGCGGAAACGAGACCTGGATCCGACGACAGCGTGTGCAATTCGGTCTCCGGCCCATCAGCGACGACCCCTGCCCGAGGTGCGAGGAAGGGGGGGGGGGGCGAGGAAAAGGATCGAGTTGCTTTTTCGACGGGGCAGAAAGTGTAAACAGAGAGCAACGTGGAGGTGGAGCAGGACTTGGGGGATTCAAAGCCTTCGCGACGTCAAGGCAGCAACTCCGCCGCCAACCCATTTCGTAGGCTCCAGAGTTATGGAAGGTCTGTCTATGGACCTCCCGTCGCATGGCGGACGCAATCGCGGGCTCGCATAGCAGGTTTCCAAGCTGCCTCGAACGAAACTTACCCGCAAGCCTTTGATAACCGCGCACTATGAGTATTCTTAAAAAGGAACAGGAACATGTGGATATGTAGGGGGATGTGGAATAATGAGGGGGGAGGAGGAGGAGGAGGAGGAGGAGGAGGAGGAGGAGGAGGAGGAGGAGGAGGAGCACGAGGAGGAGGAAGAGGAGGAGGAGGAAGCGGAGGAGGAGGAGGAAAGGGTAAGGATGGACGAGCAAGAGGCCCGGGGGGAGGAAAATGATCGAAGACAACAGGGAGGAGGAGAACGATGATGATTTTGGTGATGATGATGATGATGGTGATGATGATGATGATTTTGAAGATGGTGATGGTGCTGATGAAAATGCTGTTGTCGATGATGATGATGATGATGAGGATGAGGATGAGGTTGATGTTGGCGATGACGATGACGATGATGACGGTGAAGATGGTGATCGCTATGGTGGGGGTGATGATGAGGATGATGGTTATGGTGCACATGGTGATTGTGGTGATGGTGCTGGTGATGGTCGTGGTGATGGTGATTTTGATGATGATGCTGATGATGGTCACGATGATGATAGCGATTGTGCTGGCGTGTATGATTGAGGTAATGGTGATGCGGATGATATCGCGGGTGATGATGACGACGGTGATGATGGTGGGGATCATGATGACGAGGTTGCTGGTGATCATGATGATGACCACCAACAGTGGCAGTGATGATGATGCTGGTGATGATTCTGATGATGATCATGACCATTATGATGATGATGCTGCGGACGATGATGACGATGGTGATGATGGTGGCGATGGTAATAATAATAATAACGATAATGATAACGATAGTGTTACTCATAGTGATGGTGCTGATGATGGTAGTGGTGATTCCTAGTATTGCTATCGTCACAATCAGTCGTAATCATCGTCACCAGTATTATGCGTAGAATATGTATACTTATTGGTTTCGTTATGCTTGTTACCACCATAATTGTCAGAGTACCAGTGCGATTGCTACTTCGTATCAGTTGCTTAGGAATACTATCATTACCACGATTGCGACGGCGACGGACACAACGACGACGACGAGTACTACGACTACTGCTGCGACTGCTAGTACTATTACGACGACGACGACGACGACTACTAGCACTACTACTTTCACTACCTTCACTCCTTTCATTACTACTACTACTACTACTACGATTAGTCGTGGTAGTAGTAGTAGTAGTAGTAGTAGTAGTAGTAGTAGTAGTAGTAGTAGTAGTAGTACTACTAGTAGTAGTAGTACTACTATTTTTACTGCCAATACGCCTACTACGAGTACTACTACTCTAGACGCTACTTGTCCTAGTACTGCTACTACTGTTACTACTACTGTTACTACTACTACTACTACTACTACTGCTACTACTAGTAGTAGTAGTAGTACTACTACTACTACTACGACTACTACTATTACTACTACTACTACTACGACTACTACGACTACTACGACTATTACTACTACTACTGCTATTATTATTACTACTACTACTACTACTCCTACTATTACTACTACTACTACTACTACTACTACTACTACTACTACTACTACTACTACTACTACTACGACTGCTACTACGACTACTGCTACTGCTACTGCTACTGCTACTGCTACTACTACTACTACTACTACTACTACTACGACTACGACTACGACTACGTCTACGACTACTACTACGACTACGACTACCACTACAACCACTACAACTGGAACTGCTACTACTACCACCACTACTACTGCTCCTACGACTACGACGACTACTACTACTGTTTCTGCTGGTGCTGTTACTACTACACCACTACTTATTATCTCTTTTCATTTTCTGCACATTAGTATGTTGCTTGAATCGCATCTTTATCAGTATCAGTAAAGAAGCCGCCAAGACGGCCCAAGAAGTCCTCGAGACGTCCTCAGTGACAGTGGCAAGAGCGGGGATCCAAACCGACATTTCGTGCCCAGACGCCGAGAGCCCTGGGGAGGCCCCCGAGGCGCCCCAAAAAGTCCCAAGAGGCAGCAAGGAGACCCCAGACAAAAACTGAGAGGCCCCATCCCTAACAAGCCCCCAAGGTCTTTCCAAGAGCATCGCCCGAAGGCATCCAAAGAGATTTCCAGCATGGTTTTGCTAGGCTCGTAGGGGCTCTGGGGCACCCCCCCTTACCCTGTGTTCTCCTCGTGCCGGGCGCCTTCCAAGAAACAGTTCTGGATCAGCCCTGCACGCATATCTACGGCGCGAAGTCGTGCTGGACGTCGCCTCCATTAGAAGAATGAGCCGGGTCATATGTCTTGCACCGTGTGTCGTCCAACATCTTGACGATTCCCAGAAAAACAATCCGGCCTAAGGGATCCCCAAGGCCGCCCCAAGACGGCGTCGACTGACCCCGGCAGCCCTTAGATGATTTGATTTGCCTCAGGGCGCTGGCTTCCAGGGTTACCAAGGGACCTGCGAAGACACCTCCGAGATAGTTCGAGGGCTCTCGAGACGCTCAGGAGGTTTTCAAGACCGCTGAAGACGGTCCACAGGCCACGAACCTCCCGAAGACTTCTGGCAGCTGCTCGGTGTACCTGCTCAGAGCAGCAGGATATCTTGAGCCAGAAAGAGCCACAACGCTTCCAACTCGCCGACCATTGCTTCGAGACGGCTCAGGTAGCCTCCGAGACGCCTCAAGAGAGCTTCAGCTGATCCCCGTAAGAGACTCCAGGGGCGAAAATCGTTGATTTCCTTAGGGTTTTCCCCAACCATCCTGTGGTGTTGGGTCCCCGTTTGAAGAGACGGTCCCCGCGTTCCCCTCCCTTCCTCTTTCTTTCCTTCCTTCCTTCCTTCCTTCCTTCCTTCCTCCTCCTCCCTCCTCCGCCTCCTCCTCCCGCTCCTCCCTCATTTCGTGGCCCCATAGGGAGCTCCACCGAAGGCTCCAGTGGGACCGCCCGCATGCGTCATCCACCACCCAGCACAGCATTTCGTGGCCCCACAGAGAGCTCCACCGAAGGCTCCAACGGGACCGCCCGCATGCGTCATCCGCCACCCAGTACAGCGCTTCGTGGCCCCATAAGGGGGCTCCACCGAAGGCCCCAGTGGGACCGCCCGCATGCGTCATCCACCACCCAGCGCAGCGTTTCGTGGCCCCAAAGGGAGCTCCACCTAAGGCTCCAATGGGACCGCCCGCATGCGTCATCCACCACTCAGAACGACGTTTCGTGGCCCTAGGGAACCTCACCGAAGGCCCCAGTGGGAACGTCTGCATGCGTCATCCACCATCCAACACAGCATTTCGTGGCCCCATAGGGAGCTCCACCGAAGGCTCCAGTGGGACCGTCCGCCTGCGCCACCCACCACCCAGTACAGCGTTTCGTGGCCACATAGAGGGCTCCACCGAAGGCTCCAACGGGACCGCCCGCATGCGTCATCCACCACCCAGTACAGCGCTTCGTGGCCCCATTGGGGGCTCCACCTAAGGCTCCACTGGGACCGCCCGCATGCGTCATCCACCACCCAGTACAGCGTTTCGTGTCCCTACAGAAAGCTCCACCTAAGGTCTCCGTGGCGGAACTCGCACGGCGGAGTTCGCATGGCGGTGACTTTCGATTTCCGGATGTTTTTCGTTTTTTTCGACGTATTGAGGCCGCTTTCGGGCCGCGCGTCCCGGGCGGGAGCCAGCCTGCTCGTTCTCTCTGCTCCGCGCAGCGGACGTCCCGCGCGCGTCGCCAGGACCCTTTTGGGGCGACCGGCGCGCGTCGCGGGGACTCCGTGCGGCGCTGCGCCCGCAGCCTTGGACGTGGGCGTGCACGGGCAAAGAGGGAAACGAAAAACGGGAAGGAAGCGGGCGCAATCCTCGTGAGAGGCGCGCCGACATGGGCGTCGACATTTATGCACGTAGACCCACGCGCGCGCAGACTCATCCACAGTCAGAGCCACTCGCTCTCAGTCTCTCGCACAAAGACCTATCGTCTTCGCTCGCGTTGTGTGCCCCGCCACGCATGTCGGCGCGCTCCTCGCACGGTTCGTGGCCCCATAGGGGGCGCGGGCGAAGATGGTATTCGTAATTGTGGTATTCGCAGCTGCGTACGGTTGGGTCTTTCAGGCTAATTTTAGGATGTTCGCGTGGTCGCCTGCTTCGCTGCCCGACGCCCGGAAACATGGATACGTGATGCAGGGCTCTGGCCCCCCTCCAATTCTAATGGGATCGCCCCCCCCACCCCTCCATGGATGTGTACCCCCCCCGTTCCTGTGGTTGTGGCGTTGTGGGCGTAGTGGGCCTGTGGGCGTGTCGTCGTCGTCATCGTCGTCATCGTCGTCGACGTCGTCGTCGTCGTCGTCGTTGTCGTCGTCGTCGTCGTCATCGTCGGCGGCGGCGTCGTCGTCGTCGTCGTCGTCCCCCATCCCGTCAGGGGGGGCGCCCTGTGGACCCGGGGGCCCATCCCATCTGGGGGGGGGCCGTTTTCCCTCGACCCGGATCACAGCCTCGCCTCGCGCGAGATCTGGTCCGACGTCCCGATCCGATGCTGGACGGTCCTGGCCCTTCGCGGCGCCCACCGCGCCGCGCGCCTGGGGCCCTCCGCTTGCCAGGTGCTGCACAGCGACCCGCTCACCGAGGCTTCGGCGCCCCCGCTCCCGTGCCGCTCTCCCTCCCTGCGCCTGCTGATGCGCCTGGTGGTGCGGCTTCCTCCAGCTTTCGCTCCCTCCTCGTCCTCCCTCTTCGTCCCCCCTCCTCGTCCTCACTCCCTCTGCCCTGTTGCTCCCTTCTGCTGCTGCTGCAGGCGTCTTGGGCCGTCTTGGGGCCCTCTTGGGCCGTTTTGGATCCCTCCTGGAGCCCTCTTGGGCCGTCTTGGGGCGATCTGGGGGGCCTCTTGGGCTGTCTTAGAGCGTCGGGAAGTGGAAGAGGCAAGAACGCCGAAATGCTTCAAAAACCAATGAGAAATCAGTGATTTTCCTCTTGGGTCCCTCTTGGGAGTGCTCCTGGAGGCCTCTTGGGTCGTCTTGCAGGTCTCTTGGGCCGTCTGGGGGCCGTCAAGGCGTCTTGGATAGATCGTTCGGCGATTCGTGGCCCTCTTGGACCGTCTTGGGGGTCTCTTGGGGCGCTCTTGGCCCGTCTTGGGGCTTGTATCTGACCTGGGACCTCCCCCGGGACCGCCCCCGGGACCCTCCCCGGGACCCCCCCCTCCCAGCGGGGGAGGGATCAAAGAGAAGGGGCTTCCCTTCGAGTCAATTACGATGATGTTCGATTTCGCTTTGGCTGGCGCGCTTGAGGAGGAGGGCCTAGGGAAGGGGGTGGGGGGATCGGCGACGGGCCCAGCGCTTGAGGAGGGCTCAGGGAAAGTGTTGGGTGCGGCGACGGGCCCAGGGAAAGGGGGGGCGCAAGGGACGGGGACGACAGAGACGACGACTAACGAACGACGGAGACGACGACTCGAACGGACAGGCCCCTCACACACGCCGACAGGGTCGCCGGATTTCGAAAGCCATCCTCTCTCCATACAGCATGCATATTGTTCCTTGAAGGTTTTGGCACGAGAGTGTGTTTGTGTTTGTGTGTGTGTGTGTGTGTGTGTGTGTGTGTGTGTTTGTCTCGCCCAAGCTAGAGGCACATTTTGAAAACCATGCGCCCTCTATTTTGGTAACGGTTGGAAGCTTTTGAGACGAATGCGAGCGACGCTAAGGCGAAAAGCATCTGTTGAACAGACCCGTCCTGCATCTGCATGACCGTGTGGAATATCAAGCTGCAGGATCATGGACGGTGAGGACGTCTCAGCCGAACAGTGCGGCCTGCCCTATCGACACGCCTGGTTGTGCGACGAGGAGGTGCCAGTTACTTGTGTGGAGGAGTGGTGGAGGGGAGGGATGCGGAGCAGGGGGTGTCAGGCCTACGCGAAAGCCCTCTTCCACGGCATGATGAAGGGCATCGCTCACATACATTCGCACGAAATCGTGCACCGCGACATAAAGGCGCGCCCGCCCGTCCTCCTCACCCTCGCCCTTGCCGTTTTCGTCCTCGTCGTCCTGGCCCCCGTTCTTGTCCTCGTCCTCGCTCGCTCTCGACCTCGTCCTCCCTGCCGTCGTCGTTCTCCTCGTCGTCGTCGTCGCCGTGGCCGTCGTCGTGTTTCGTCGTCGTCGTCGTCTTTTGTCGCCGTCTCTCGTCGTCGCCTTTCGTCGTCGTCGTCGTCGTCGCCCTCGCCCCCTCGCTCGCCGCTCGCGCCCCGCTCGCCCTCCGCCCCCGCCCGCCCTGGCGCCCCTGCGCCCCTCGCCCTCGCCCTCGCCCTCCGCCCCCCCCCTCGGGGCCCCCCCCTTGCTGGGGCCCCGAGCGGGGCGGGGCCGCAGGACCCCGCCGCCTCGCCGAGATGCGCCGCCGCGCGCCTTCTCCGACGCCTCGGCGACGCGTCGGCCGAGCGCACCGCCGCCGCGGGCGCGGAGAGAGCCTCGCCTCCGCGTGGAGCCGCACCGCCGACGCACGGCCGATGCGCCTTCCTCCTCCTCCTCCCCCCCCTCCTCCTCCTCCCCCTCCTCCTCCTCCTCCTCCTCCTCCTCCTCCTCCTCCTCCTCCTCCTCCTCCTCTTCCTCCTCCTCCTCTTCCTCTTCCTCTTCGTCGCCTGGCCCCGCCAGCGGTGCGGCGCGATCCTCCGGCCCCATCTGCTCGGACCCCACCCGTCGGCGGCGAGCCCGGGGGTGGGGGGGAGGGGCTTCTCGGAAGGCCTTGGCTTCAGATGCTCCGCCCCGCTGGAGCCTTGATCGCAAGAAAGAGTTCCGAGCATCAGGGGAGCATCGAAGCTGGAGGGTTTTCGCGTGTCGGGCCCGGGGGGCGACACTCGTTCGACCGGCACTTTGCCAGCGCGTCGGGCAGACCCTGTTTCGATACTTTCCTGGGTGCTCGAACTGATCTGTGGGATGCAGCCCTGAAGTACGACGGGAACAGCAGAAGTCCCGGCGGGGACCCGCGGCCGGCGGGCCCACCACTCGGGGGCGATTCCGAAGGCAGCCCCGAGCCTCGCATCGACGAGGAGGGCCTGCGGCCGCTCCAGAGCGCTCGGGAAGCGGGCGCTGCCTCGTCGGAGGGGCGATCCATGAGGGGGCGGGGAGGCACGTGCACCTTTCGTCCCCGTTGTGGGCCCCCGCACCCCCCGAGTCATCGCCCACCCGGTACTCGGCGGCGAGCGAGGGGGGGAAGTGAGAAGGAGGAGGCCTTCTCGGAAGGCGGCGGGGCCTCTCAGAAGGCATCCGGCTTTCTGAAAAGGTTTTCTGCGTCTTCGGGGAAGGCTCAGAAACCTTCTCAGAAGGCCGGGGGACTTCCCAGCCTTCTGAGCCGGGCCCGCCCCTTCCCACTGCCTCCCCGGGCTCGCCGCCGAATTCGGGAGGCTTCTGCCCTCTGCGTCTCCCTCCCGCGCGCTCGTGCCTCCTTGGCCACGACGGCCGTGCAGTTCGCCGAAGTGCACCCCGTTTGCGCCCTCGCGGGAGTGACCTCGCGCAGCCGGCGGAAGAGCAGAAGAGAAGTGTGCGATGACGGTGCGATGGCTCGCTCTGCCTGGGTCCTGCACACGAGCCAGACTCCGCTTCGTCTCCGCGCGTGCGGTTGCGACGCCAAGGCATGTGCACTCCAGATTTCATCACGCAGGGCGGGGGGTCACGACCCTCCCAGGTGAGCCGTGTCGGAGCCCCCCAGACCAGCCATGAGAGGGCGGCCTTGTTGCTCAGAACCCCCCGGACCCTCCAAGACAGCTCAAGTCAGACCCCCCAAAGTCAGACCATCACCTCTTGCCCCAAGCAGTGCTTGCACTTGGGTGTGCTTACTTCTCTTCGAAGGAGCTGGGCCTGTCTGGTGGTCTGGCGGCTCCGTGCTCGCCGTCGCCGCCCGTCGTCTGGGCCTGTCTGGCGGTCTGGCGGCTCCGTGCTCGCCGCCGCCGCCCCGTCGCCGCCTCGTCGCCGCCCGTCGTTTGGGCATGTCTTGCGGTCTGGCGAGTCCGTGCTCGCCGTCGCCGCCCCGTCGTCGCCGTCGCCGCCCCGTCGCCGCCCCGCGTAGATTTGCCTTTCTAGAGGAATTCGGATATCCCCCCCCCAGTTTCATCGGCATCCCCTGGGGATGCACGGTTTACATATGATTATGGCCCATCGTTCATTCTAAATATACAATCATCGCATTCCAGCCACAACGGGTTTGACCTCCGTCATCTTCGTCAAGTAATACTATGCGCGCGCATTCGTTGATCAAATATAGTCCATGTGCAAGAATCGGTTGCAACAAATGGGACGAAGTGCACACACGCGCGCTGTCGCGCGCGCATGCCGAAATCGTTTTCGGTTTCGCCGGGGTTTCAATATCGAGTGTCCCGAACACACAATATAACAACCAATGGTATTGCATAACAGTGTTCTTCCAAATAAGCCAGTGCGTGCGCTCTTGTGAATTGAGAAATCACTCGGTTTCCAGCGTCTTCATCGAATGCGACCAGGCGGGTCTTTCGCGTGCGCATGTCGAAATCATTCGAACGCCCTTGCGCAGATGCTGGGGAGGCGCGATCGCTGTCACACAGCTCCATGCGGGTCACTCGCGCGCGTCGGCCGCGCGCGCATGGCAAAATCCTTCCGAAACCTTCTTCGCCGACACGTGGACGCCATTATCGTCAGCGGCGTGATTAGCATCGGCACCGTCATTTGCTTTGCCGTCGCCAATATTATCATCGCGTTCAGCATCGCTAGTCTCATCATCGTGCCTGCCGTTGTTGACGTCGCCATGATATCGCGCCCGCCCGAGCAACCGACTTGCAATGATGTGCCCGCGCGTCGGCGCGGCCTGCGAGACGGCTTGGGGAGTGCCCAGCGGTCAGCGCCACCGCGGCCGCGTCGGTCGCGCAAAGGTAGCTGGCCGTTTCGCGCGCGAGCCTTCGCGCGCTAGCGCGGCCGCAGCGACGTGCCAACCTGCGCCAAGTAGTCGTCGCAATCGCCGCCGCATGTGTTTAGCAAATCAGGTTGCGGGTTGGCGGATGGGATGTCTGCGCGAGCAATGGAGTTGACAAAGTCAAGTTCGGTATGGTGGTTTTCCTTCCTAAAATGAAAATAGACTCTACTCCCCCCGAACTTTTCGGCACCTCTATGCGTATTGCAATGTACATATGCTTCTGCTACGTCGTCTATCCTAAATGTGAATTGCACCATCCAAGGGGGGCCGGTATCCTCCACCACGCCATCCCGTGCAACATATACTATGCGTGCGCGCACTCGTTCATCGAAAGCCATCAGTTTCCAAAAATCTTTTGCAACAGATGAGACGAAGTGCGCACGCGCGCGTTGTCGCGCGCATGCCGGAGTCCTGAGAACAAAACTCTCGGTTTCGTAAGGGCTTCAAAATCGAGTGTCCACACACAGTTACAAAAATAACACATGGTTTCGCAATTGGGGCTTTCAAGAAAAACTTGCGCGCGCGGACTCTTGCGAATTCTTAAAGAAACCATCGGTTTTCCATCATATTCAAACATGTTACCAAACGGGCTTCACGCGCGTATGTTGAAATCGTTCGAACGCCCTAGCGCGCGTGCCGTCGCGAGAAACTTTCGCAAAACATGGGGCGAAGTGCACTCGCGCGCGCGTCGTCGCGCGCGCGCGTGCCGAAATCAGTCAAACACCTACGGTTTCGTAGCGATCTCAAAACCGAGTGTCAAACATATATGCAAGTAAATGGTTTCGCAACATCAGCTTTCAACAAAAACGTGCGCTCGCGATCTTGCGGATTCTTGAGGACACCATAGTTTTTTTCACCTCTGTCTTCTTTCCACATTGTCATGGGATTCTGTCAAACGGGCCTCTCGCGTCGCATGCCGAAATCATTCGAACGCCCTGCGCGCGTGTTGGGGGACACGAGCAGGGTCAAATAGTACAATGCGGCTACTCTCGCGCGTCGGCCGCGCGCGCATGTCGAACTGGTTCGAAAATCTACATCGCCGACGCGAGGACGCTGTCATCGTCGCCGGCGTGATCAACATCGGCACAGTCATTGGTTTTGCCGTCGTCGTTGCCGCTACGACTATCCTCGTGTCTACTGTCGTCGACGTTGCCATGATACTTCGCCCGCCCACCAATTCACATATTCGCACTTTGGGAAGTGCCAAACGGTCAGCGCCACCGCGGCCGCGTCGGTCGCGCCAAAAGAGCTGGCCGCTGTGCGCGCAGCCTGCGCGCGCTAGCGCGGCCGCAGAGATGCACCAACAATCGCCGCCGCATGGGTTTTGCAAGCCACGTTGCGGGTTGGTGGGCGGGATGTTTTCAAGAGCGTGGGACGTGGTCCAGCGTGGTGCAGGGTAGTCAATTGCACCACATGTTCGCACCACGTATATTGCGTCGCATGTGGTGCACCACGCTGATGGCACCATATTGATTGCACAACATCGATTGCACCACATAGATCGCGCCGCGTATGTTGCACCGCATCGCATCGACTGCGCCACATCGGTTGCGCAACGTGGGTCGTGCCACATAGAATGCACCACATAGCTTGCACCACTTATATTGCACCACACATTTTGCGCCACGCAGTGTTTCCACATATATTGTCCAACAGGTATTGCACCACGTAGATCGGTCGACATATATCGCTCGACATATAATTTGTAACATATACGGTATCACATAGATCGCACCACATAAGTAACACCACGTAGATTTTATCTCATGCGTTGCACTATATCTATTCCACCACATTTGTTGATCCATATACGTTGCACATTGTAGATTGCTGAGCGCACATGGTTTGGGGTTATGTTTGCTAGCATCTTGTGAAATCTGGAATGCATGCTCTGGGCGGGTGCTGCTTTGCTCGCGTCGTCTAAGGAGTGGTGTGTAGTGTTGGACAGCTCCGTCCGACGGCGTCTTGGCGCAGCGGTGCGACAACCGTCATCACCGCCATCATCTTCATCTTCGTCGTCATCGGTACCGCCCTCGCCTCCGCAACCGCCCTGGCACTGCTCGCAGGGTTCGGCTGCTGATAGCTGCTGTTTCTGCAATCGGGGATTCCAGCCCCAGGAGGGACGTGTACGGCAGGACCGTGTCGTGTCGACCAGCGGCGACATCGCCGCCGGCGTTCCTCGTTGAACGCCGCCTGCGACCCCGAACCGGTCGATGCTGAGCGAGCTGGCGTCTCGCAGGCGGCCGACCGTTGGAGGGAGGCCGAACGATCCCCGCGGTGCCGGGCACCCGCGCCGAAGTCGCCACGCCACGAGCCCGCCTCGGCCCGGCGCCGGCGCCCCGGCCCGCGCGGCCGCCATGGAGCACAGTGCCCTGCTCACCCTGCCGGGCGGGGAGCCGGCCCCGGCGCCCGCGCCGCCTGCCCCGCCGGGCCGCGGGCGCGCCGCCGGGGAGGGCCCGCCGCGGGGCTGCGGGCGGCAGGCGAAGGCCCTGGGGTCCCTGGCGGTGCTGCTGGCCTGCGGGGCCCTGCTGGTCTCGAGGCTGGTCACCTCGGCGCCCCGCGCGGGCGCGGCGAGGAGCGCGCGGCGCGCTCTCGGGCCGCCCGGCGCTGCACACGTCCGCGCCCCCCTGGCCGGGCCCCCTCCCGGGCCCAGGGGCTGAGCATGCGCCCTCCTGGCCACGCCAGGAGGGCGTGGCGTACACACACACACACCGTTGCTCGGCTCAGGGTGGGGCCTGGCCAGGGAGCAGTGGAGGCGTAGATTTCGTCGCCGCATGGTATCTGGCCCCAAGCCGAACCCCCGGGGCGGTTCTGGGGGTCGCCGCGGCGATCGCGGCGGCCTCAAGTCGGGGCAAGGCTTTTGTCAAGGGGTGGCGTGCCCCTTCCCAGCTCCCCCCCCCGCTCTGCGATGTAGACGTGGGCCACCATGAACAGTGCAGCGGCAGAGAGTTGTCGATTTATCGCCAACATGGGCAGCCATGTTTGTTTTTTGCCCAGGGGTCGATTATGATCAAGTCGGGCGTGTCCCTCCACAGGAGGAATATTCAAGAATAGTCCAACAATAGTATGTTGTCGATTGTTCTGTTACATGTTCCAACATGTTTCGAGTCTTTTTCGATGAGCTTTTAACAAATGAGCTTTTAATTTGTCCTCCGCAATCTGCCTGTAGTGGGACACTCCCGACCTGAGATTATGACCTAACCGCAGGAGCGGCGACACGGCCCTGCAGGGGGAGGGCAGCCTCAGCCTGAAGTCGTTCTTCGGCAGGATGAGCCCCGAGGCGCTGCCCGCCCTGCGCAGGGCCGCGGGCCTGGGCCCGATGTCGGAGAAGGAGATAGAGAAGGCCGAGGATCGGAGGAGAGGAAGCGGCACGAGCAGGCCCTCTTTCAGGCGGTCGCAAGCGTGGATCGAGGGGGCGTGGACCAGCGACGGGTCCCGCTTCCGTGGGAGATCGCGGCTTCCCGCCGCCGCGCGAGGCGGCGCCGGCCGACCCTTGGGGGAGGGCACCTCCCCCGATCCGTGGACTTGGCGACCGCGCGCCAAGTCCATATGGATCGCTAATCCGTGCTTGCGCGCCCCCGGAGGAGGAGGAGGAGGAGGAGGAGGAGGGAGGAGGAGGAGGAGGAGGAGGAGGAGGAGGAGGAGGAGGAGGAGGAGGACTCCTGGAGCTCCGTGCGGATCTCCTGGCTCGGCGCTCGGGCCCCCGGCGGCGCCGCCAGAGCCGCCCCCGGCGCTCCCCGCGCGCCGGGCCGGGGGGGCCTCCGCGGCGCCCACCGGCGAAGCCCGCGCGGAGCTCCGAGCGTCCGCGCTCGAGCTGGGGCTGGCTCTGCTCCATTCTGCCTCCCCCTCCTCCCCCTCTCCCTCCTCTCCTCCTCCTCCCTCCTCCTCCTCCTCCTCCTCCTCCTCCTCTTCCTCTCCTCCTCCTCCTCCTCCTCCTCCTCCTCCTCCCCCTCCTCCTCCTCCGCTCCTCGGGAGGAGCGCGCCTTCATCGAGCAGGGCACCAACGGGGCGGGCAAGGCCCTGATCGAGAAGGCCCGGGCCGCGTCCGAGAGCGGCGGGGCCGAGGTCTACATGGTCGCCGTGCCTCGCCAGGTGCAGGAGCTGCAGCAGCTGGTGGCCAAGACGACGACCACTGCGCCGCCGAAGGGGGCGGGGCCGCCCCCCAACAATCGGAGAAGGGAACGGCGGATCGGCACCGGCACAGACTCTGAAGGGTGCGCGCGGACTGCTCGGAGCGGCGCCTCTGGCGCCGCCCCCTGGCGCGCACCGCGGTGACCAGGCCGTGCGGTGAATCAGTGAGGATCCCGAGTGACCCCACGGGTTTGGAGGTCGGGTCGTTCTCCGAGGATGTCTCGGGCGACGAGTGCATCCCGGGTTCCAAAGCCGTGCGGTGAGGGACCGTGCGAGGGGAGGTCTTTTGGGATCTCGGGGTCACCGCGCTGTCTGTCACCGCATCGTTTTGTGGACCCCCCGAGGGGGTCTGGCGCCGATCCGAGAAGGTCCGCGCGGAGTCTGCAAGGCTGTGCTTATGCTCGTCTTTCTCTTCTTCTGGAGACGAAGGCCAAGGTCGGCCCAAGCCAAGGCATCGTGGCGGACGTCGGGGAGTGCGCGGGGGACGGGGAGAGCTGCCTGCTGTCCCGGTGCTGCACCTCGCCGGGGACGCGGTGCTTCCGGGTGAACGACTGGTGGCGCGGGCCCCTCAAGAGGAAACCCGCCGCTCCGTCCCTGGCGGAGGGGAGGGGAGGGAAGGATGTGGGTGGATTATGACGACGATGACGATGACGATGACGACGACGACGATTCTGATTGAGATGACTGTGATGATGATGCTGCTGATGATGAGGATGATGACGATGATGCTGATGAGGATGATGCCGATGATGACGACGATGATAATGATGATGGGGACGATGTTGATGCTGCTGATGATGATTATGATGATGATGAGTATACGGCGGCGACGACAGCGATGCTGATGCTGATGTTGATGCTGCTGCTTCTGATGACGATGATGATGCAGATGTTGATGCTAACGACGATGATGATGATTATGATGATGGTGCTGCTGCTCATGACGATGATGATGGTGCTGCTGATTAATATGCTGATGATGAGAGATGATGGTGCTGATGATGACGGTGAACATGAAGATGATGACGATGATGATGGTTATTTTCATTACGGTGATGATGTTGATTGAGGATGATGCTTTTGCTGATTATGATGATGCTGCCGATAATGATGATGATGATGATGATGATGATGATGATGATGATGATGATGATGATGATGATGATGATGATGATGATGATGATGATTGTGATGATGATGGGTAAGAAGAGGATAATGATGCTGATGCTGCTGATGATGATGCTTATATTGACGAAGACGACGATTCCGCCTCCGCCGACGACGACGACGACTACGACCACGACCACGACGACGACCACGACGACGACGACGACGACCCCGACGACGACCACGACGACGTTCAGGACGACTTTGACGACGAGCACGACGACGCTCAGGACGACGCCCGCGACGACACGACGACACGACGACCCACCAATACAACACGACACGGCGACATGGCGACACGACCGTCGACGTGGTAGCACGACGGAGACGACCATGATGATTGTGGTGGTGGTGGTGGTGATGGTGATGGTGATGGTGATGATGATGATGGTGGTGATGATGCTGATTCTGATTGTGATGAAAGTGATGATGCTCACGATGCTGCTGATGCTGACGATGCTTCTTATACTGACGATGCTTCTGATGATAAGAGGTATGATGATGATGACGCTGATGCTGATGACGATCATGATTTTAATGATGACGTTCATGACAAGTAGGTGGCTGATGCTGCTGATGATGGTGATGATGCTGATGCTGATGCTGATGATGGTGCTGTTGATGATGATGATGCTGGTGATGATGATGTCGATGATGACGACGATGATGACGACGACGACGATGATGATGATGATGAAGGTGATGATGATGGTGATTTTATCGATGATCAAGTTGGTGATGAGGATGCCGATGATGATGATGATGATGATGATGATGATGATGATGATGATGATGATGCTAATGATGATGCTAATGATGATTTTAATGATGATGCTAATGATGATGGTGATGATGAGGATGGGAATGGATGTGCTCATGATGCTGATGAGCATGATGATGCTGATGATGATGATGAGGATGATGATGATGATGATGGTGATGACGATGATGATGATGCTGATAATGATGGTGATTGTGCTGCTGATGATGAGGATGATGTGGACGATGATGATGATGATGATGATGATGATGATGATGCTGATGATCATCACCATGATGATGGTGTTGTTGACGATGCTGATTATGATAACTATGTCTCTGTTCATACTCTGATGCGGACGAGGGTGGTGGTGATAATGACGATGATCGTGATGATGGTGCTGAAGGTTATGCTGCTGCTGTTGTTGCTGCTTATGATGATGATGAGGGTGCCGATGATGATGCGTGTGATGCTGATAATGCCGATGATGACGATGCTGCTGCTGCTGATGATGATGATGCTGATGATGATGATGATGATGATGATGATGGTGATGATGCTGCAGGGTGGATATGATGATGCTGCTGATGCTGATGCTGACGACGACGATGATGTTGAGGCTAATGATGCTGATGCTGACGATGATGATGATGCTGATGTCGATGATGATTCTGATGATGGTGATGATGATGATGCTGAGGGTGATGATGATGCTGCTGATGATGCTGCTGCTGATGATGATTTTGACACAGTCGATGATACTGATGGTGCGTCTGATGCTGCTGGTGGATGAAGAAAATGGGGATTTTGCGAGTGAGTCTCATGATACTGCTCAGAATTCTGATGATGACGATGATGGTGATCATGATGATGATGATGACGATGATGCGCGAGCGGATGATCACTGATGATGACGATACTGATGCTGACAATGATATTGGTATGCTAATGATGTTGGTTATGGTGATAATGATGCTGATGGTGATGCTGATGATGGTGATTAATCACGATGGTTGCGGTTGTGGTGATGCCTACGACGACGACAGCGATGTTGATGACGACGGCGAATATAATAAAGATGCCGATGATGACTGTGGCGGTTGATAATGATTATGATGATGTCGACGGTGATGATGATGATGATGATGATGATGATGATGATGATGATGATGATTGCGATGTCGACTACGACCCCGACTACGGCCACGACGACGATGATGATGTTCATGATGCTGATGTTCATGGTGGTGATGATGATAACGATGATGCTACTGGTGATGATGACGATGATGATTATGATGATGCTGATGATGATGATGATGATTACGATGATGATGGTGATGATGATGGTGGTGATGATAATGACATATGGTGATGATGATGATGCTGATGATGATGATGATGATGATGATGATCATGATGATGAAGATGATGATGGTGCTGATGATGATGATGATGATGATGTTGATGATGATTCTGATGGTGATGCTGATGATGCTGATGATGATGCTGATGCTGATGCTGATGCTGATGCTGATGCTGATGCTGATGCTGCTGATGATGATGATGATAATAATGATGGTGATGATGATGATGTTGCGGAGGGGGATGATGAGGAGGAGTACTGGGTAAAAGTGCTGGAGAAGGGGGTCTTCAAGAGGGTGTAGAGGTGGGGAGGGATGGCCGTGGTCTTTCTGCGTACTCTCTGCTTCTAAGCCGCTTTCCACAACCTGGCAGCTGCTCGAGTGGCTGGGCGTGTCAATGCCCTTGGCCAAACTAGCAAAAGCTTGATTTCTGACTAAGTTGTGGGGGAGTGCCAGGCGGGATCCGATGTTGTAGTATGTCGGGGGGCAACAGCGCAGTCTGAGGCGCAAGACCTTCCCTTGAAAGAAAATACAGTGCAAGCCGAGGGATGGGCATTCCAATGGAAAAATCACCACGTGCACAGGAGGGGGATAAACAAGAATCATCCTCTAGAAGTGAGAATCCACCAGCAACAGTCAGTGTAATCCGGTTCGCTCTTACATGCTCGCGTGTCAATCACCATGCATCGCCAAAGCCCTCGATGCCCGCCCTTTTCGTCTTTGATGCTACTCTGTTTGGGGTGTATATTTTCCCTCCCTGCCACGTGTAATTGGCGCTGACCTTGAACCTGGAAGAACAGAGATGATGGAAAAGAGAGACAGCGAGGGGAAATGGAGTGGAGGGAGGGAGGGAGGAGGGAAGGGGGCAAGAGGGAGGAGGCAGGGAGAAGGTGGAGGAATAGTAAGATGGATGACGAGAGGGATTAGCAAGAGGGGATAGCAATAACCTCTCACGAGCGAGAGCGTGATTCCAGAGCGCCGAGAGAGTCATTCGCGAATGAATCGTAGGGATGTCGCAGGCGGTTCGCGATTGCAGGAGAAGTTGCACCGGAAGCCCCGAGCGGGAGCCCGGTGCTTCCATGAGTTGTGAGGAAGCATCCGGCGGGAGCCGATGCTGTAGTAGTCCGGGGGGCAACAGCGCAGTCTGAGACGCACGACCTTTTGATTTGTCTCTCCCTTCCACTGGGAAGACCAGCGAGAAGCTGGGCACCGCCAACAGCTGGGAACCTCCGAGGACGGACGAAGACCACCGAGCACGCCGAGCGCCATCAGCCTCGCGCGGAGGGGGTCTAGGGGGAGGGGGGAGGGTTTCTCGGACACACCCCTGCTTCCAGAGGGCGCTGAGGAGGCGCGGGCCTTCTCTGTAGATGCAGGGCCGGCGCTTTCTAAGACGCAGCCTGCTGAGAAGCCTTCCCCCTCCCTCTACCCTCTTGTGCGAGCCGCCAACGCCTTCCGGTACGATCGGAGCGGGTACAGTCGAGGCGGATGAGTAGGTGGACCCTGCCAAATCAAGGGTACCCCGGTACCCCTGTGTCCTGTGTTTCGTGACCCATGCCTTCTGCATTTTTACGGCAATGTGGCCCTCGGAAAGGTCTTGTGTCCTCTTACGCGCCCTCTCCAATGATCATCGACTGTACGGGAACCGGAAGAAGGTGGTCGCAGAAGAAGAGACGGCGATCGTAATTTTTCGGAGGTCCGCGCGGATTTCTTGGATCTGCGCTGGGCCCACCTCGCGGCGCCTCCAGCGCCGCCCCTGGCGCGCACCGCGCGTCAGGGAGGGGGACCTCAGCGCCGACCCAAGAACTCTGCACGGACCTCCGAACGTTTGTGTGCATGCCGCACCTCGTCGTGGACGAGGACCGACAGCAGTCTCTGTTCGTTCTGAGCAGGACTCGCCATCGGTCTCGCCGCAGGCCTTGTCCGCCTCAGACAAGGAGTCGCCCGTCTCGCGGCGACCGCTATCGCAGGTCTAGAGATTGACACCAACACCGATATCGGCGGTGTGCATCCACCGAGGGGAGACGATCCCGATCTCGGTGACGGTGGTAATATTCTGGCTTCCAAGGTGACCGACATATTGCCACCAGCACCGACATCTAGGATCATCATCTCCCCCATGTGGAGGCAGCCCCCTTGTGCTGGTGTTGCTGCCCACCTCCAGGCCTCCAGCGCGGTCGGTGCTGGACAGCACGTGCCGCTGGGCACCGTGCCCGGGAGTCGTCCGTGCCCACGTCGGGGGGGCTCGTGGGCGACGCG